ACCACACCCAGAGACCAGACCCAGAGGCCAGGCCCGTAGACTTGTCCAGAGACCTGACCAAAGACTAGACCAAGGACCAGAGTCCAGACCTTACTGGTACTAGTCTTGAGCTAGTCCACACTTCACTTCTAGACACCAGACCATAGTGGACTGTCTGATTATCAGGATCAATTTACATTCCAGAGTCCAGAGCAGAATAAGAGAGAGACTAGAATCCTACCCCCAGACCAAAGTCCACTTTGGAGTTCAAACAAGACCAGAGATCAAGACCAGACTACAGCAGGACTACGGTGGGACTACGGTGGGACTATGCGGGGTAGACTAGAGTCCGTACCCATCTAGAGTCCCAAACTATAATTTGGACTATAACCAAGAGTTACATCAGAGTCCAAACTGGGGTCCAAACAAGACCTAATCTGGACCGGATATGGGTGGGACTTCAGAAGATCTACGGGTTAGACCATAGTCTAGACCCATCTAGACTCATAGGCCAGAGTCCAGACTACAGTGGGGCAAGACCCTGGTCCACATCCCAGACTGGAGCTAGGACTACAGCGGCACTAGACCCTGGCCCAGATCCCAGATCTGAGTTTGGACTACAGCGGCACTCGACCCTGGCCCAGATCCCAGATCTGAGCTTGGATTTGCCCTTGAGGTGCCATGGTGAGGTGGAGGTTCTTCCTGGAGGTTTTTCTGTGCCTCTGGTGCTCTGTGAACGCACAGTGAGTACTTTCATCTGTTTATTTTAAAAGAAAATTCTGATTTTCACATTTCTAACTCCTTTTTTTTTTTTTTCCAGAAATTGGCGAGACAGGTAAGTTCTTCAATTTACTGCTACTGCTACTATTACTGCTACTGCTACTGCTAGTACTACTACTACTACTACTACTACTACTATTACTGCTACTTCTGCTGCTACAGCTACTACTATTATTACCACTACTACTGTTTTCCAGAAGTGGGTAAATGGTAGTCAAGTGGTCCATGAAATTAGTCACATAAGAGTAAAAAGTATTTGGGAAAACTGCTAAAGTAAAAGTAATATTTTGAAGTGAATGTAATTTGAAGGACAAAACATGAAATAAAGTACAAAATCTGGTGTTTTCAAAGGACAGATGCAAAAGGCGACAAACTAAATCATATCTGAAGGAGCGCTGCAAGAAACACCAATGTAATTTCATATTTTCAGTATAAAGCTTTTGTCACTTGTACTTACTCACAGTGTAAGAGTACTGTTACCCTCAAATAAAATATTACTCAAGTAGGAGGAAAAGGTGTGTCGCTAGTACAATTTCTTTAAAAAGTTACTGAAATAGATGTAACTGAGTACTGAGTACAACTGTTTCTACTACATTAATGATCAGTTTTTTAATATTTTAAAAAGTGCCGTGTTCTTTTCCAAACAAAGGTTTGTAGTAAATAATTTTGCACCTTTGTGGTTATCTCTACAGTCCAACAGGGCTGTCAAAAGTCTTGAAAATCAGATACTCATTTGAACAGGCACTGATACTAAAAAAAGTCCCATTCACAGGAGAGAAATGAACCTTTCCTGAGTCGCTTTAGAATGATTTTGAGCTGTAGACTATTATACACCCATAGACCACTATGGAACCTACCTGGACCCTGAGGTATTACACACATATAAGACCACATGGGAATAGAAAAAAAGTACTATGATTTAATGTTGAAAATCACATTCTATTGTCTACAAAGAGTTTTTTTTTTTTTAATGTTATTGTTTTTTTTTTTTCTTTGTGGTTCACAATCGTATTGAGTACAGTATCAAGTATCAAGTGTACTCCTTAGTGGAAATTGAGTTTGACATCTTAGATTGTGAAAACAACACAGTCCAACAATTTTTTTTTTTTTTTTTTGCACATTTGTCATCAATTGTTTAACAAACACCTGAACTATATTATTCTAATAATTTCAGATTTGAGCCTTTTGAGCGCCACCTACAACTTCCAGGTAACCAGAGACCAAACACCACACGCCAGAGACCAGAAACTAGACCGTAGACCAGAGACCAGACCAAAGACTAGAAATCAGAGACCAGACCAGAGACCAATCGAGAGACAGAAGACAGTCAGAGACCAGAGACTAGAACAGAGAACAGAGATCAGCACAGCACAGCAGAACAGACCAGCCAAGAGACCAGAGAAACCAAACACTAGAAAGTATAGCCAGAGAGCAGATGAAATCGACTGACCGAAGAGAACTAAACGACCAGAGACAACCAGACCTAACGACCACAACATGTTTAATAATAGCAATAAAGTAAACTATATTTAAAACATAAAGTGCATAAGATGGCACTAAAAGAGTAATGTAAAAAGTCTATTTTACAAAGTCACTGTCCTAAGTTTATTCCTTCATAATTCTGTGTTTTTGTTGCAGACTCCGATGATCGGCACTGTCCCGGAAAGTCTCATTTTGAAATAATTGAAACAATATAACAAAAAATATATATTTACACCAGATACCGCAAAATGACTTTCAAGCTTTCCTTGTCCTCGTCTAGTCCAGGTTAATCCCATGTAGGTCAGTCGTCGTGTGTGTGTGAAATATTTGCTTTGGAAAGTGAGTTTTGGGCCAAGGTCCAGAGCATCATAAACAAAAACCAGACTCTCACTTGATTACCACTGCTTGTACTATCTTTTACTATTATTAGTACTACAACCACTACTAGTCCTGATTCACTCCTTATTAGTCTTGGTTTAGTCCTGGTTTAGTCTTTGTACAGTCCTGGTTTAGTCCTGGTTCATAGCACATTGGTTTAGTCCAATAGTAACATAAGTCCTGAATTACAGCACCATTGTTTAGTCAATCCGGTATGAGTTCCTGAATCCAAGTCCTGGCGTTAGATCCTGGGATTATTCTAGTTCAAGTCCTCGTTTCAGCCGGTAGCCAGCGTACCTAGTCCTCGTTAGTCACTGGTTTAGTCTGGTTCAGTCCTGGTTTATAGTCCTGGTTCAGTCCTGGTTTAGTCCTTGTTTGTCCTGGTAATCTACTCCTGAGATTTACCTGATCATGTCGGACTCTCTCTGGTTGTGACAAACGTCTCAGAGTACCTACTGCTCATCCAGACGTTCTCAGAAGCCAGCAGCGTCTATGATAGAGAAGAGACTGTGGTTCTACTCAGGCCGATCAGGGAGTCTCATGATATCTTATTATGTAGCAAGTCCACGGCGAGTCTCCAATTCCACAGTCTACTTAATCTCCACCTGGAGCAACCTCGACAAGGCAGTCACATTACAACATAGTCCTACAGCGCTAACCGATAGTCCAGGTGGATCTATATAAATACTTCACATCAACATCACAGGTTTCACACAAAATGAATAGCTTTACCGTATTTCTGACGAGCGGGTCCGAAGTCCTGCATATCATATAAATGAGTTTGAAAATCCCTGAGACATATACCTGATGAGCGTAAATTTAAGTACCTAGATGTTTTATTATTCCACTGTTCCTTGTGATAATCGAACCACATACGCAGTGTGACCTATCAAGACAACCTACGGGTGAGACCTACGGGCTTGTCTATGTGTCAAGAGTCAAAAAGCTCTCAAAAACTATTTATCTTTAAAATCTAAACTCTGGAGTGGAAGTTCCGACGCAACCTTGCACTAGAGAATATAAGAAGACTACTAGAGAGATAGATTTGAGTATTTAAAAATTATCGAGAGTGTGAACTCTTTTTACATATAGGCTTTAAATACTAAAGATATACCAAATGCGTTCACCCAACACACGTCAACTCACTTCATCACCTGAACTGTCGTCAACCATGTTAGCCTGTTGCCCATAGAAAGCCGTCCTATACTCTAAATACGACTATAAGGAGCTACACGTCCAGGAAATTACTGCGAACAGTATAACATCATGAAAACTTCAGGAAGCACTCGAATGTACATTTTATGGCTGTTAGTCGACTGTATGTACTTAAGTCAGAATGTAATCTCTGGATGTATGTAGTCTGAGAAGCGAGTTTCTATGAGACGAATCCTACAGAAAGTGTAGCGGGAGTGAGGCTGAAGATGAATCATGTCTTCATTAGAAAGTTACTTGTGACATTTTGGAAGTACTAGATTATGCGTTCGCGGTAAGAGCAGGCATTGGAAGGTTCTACTGACTTATCGACATGTCTAATGGATATACTACATAGATTAAGCCAACATGCATATCTCGAGTATGCGACCAGAGACAATAGACATGCTGGATATGAATAGATCTATACGGCAATCCTGCTGTCTGAACTCTTCTTCAAATGACATCCGTGCTCACAAAAAAGAAATTTTTACTTTTGCCGTACTCTGGCGTTAATACTGGCGCTTGTACCACTCGTGAAGCATGTGGATCTATCAAAAAGTCGTGAACATATTACTGATATGTTCTTTTGCCACACTCTAATAAAGACGGCAGGGTCTGACATGCTACGCAGCACCATGAGCCATATGCCTCACTCGATTCAGCGGAATACATACAATGTTCCAGAGAGAACCTGGCAGAACTGTCTGTCTCACCCTGAAATCCAGTCACCAGTACGTCAGGTGTCTACACCAATCCCCCTGGCGTCAGGCAGTTTTGCAGTAGAACACTCAAACACCACTGCCACATCAACCAATATGATCCAATGCGTCACTAACCAGGTAATGAGAGAGAGCTTCTACTAACATGTTCCAGTCAACTGACGGGCTCTAGACGCTGTGCGACATTCACATGAAGTGAACACAGAATAGAAGAGTTATAAGCTCTATACTTAAACGTGTCTATGAAAAATTGGACCACCAGAGCGAAATTCCTCTGTCAACACTACAAAGAATTATTGTGATCGAGCATATTTGAATAACAAAAGAATGCCGTCTCAACAGGTAGTGTCAGAAGTACAATATGCGGTTTCTGTGCTACCGCACGTCACGTCAGCGTGTCTAAGAGCATATGATATTAGCTTCTTGACCTTAGTTTCTGCGTTACACATGCCGCAGTATATCCTATGG